TTAACCAGCACCTCAAACTCAAACTTCACGATCCGCAACCCCCGGCTCGAGGACCAGACCCGGCCGCCCCCCACGCCGCCCTCGGGCTCCCGCCACGGGACCAGCCGCCGGATATGCGTGACGGTCAGGGCCGTCTCCTCGCGGACCTCGCGCGCCACGCCGTGCAGGATCGAGGCGTCGGCGGCGTCGACGCCGCCGCCGGGGACTTCCCAGAGGTGCGGCCGGGAGTCGCAGGCTGCGCGCTGGAGTAGCAGGAGGAGGGGCTGGGGCTGGGTGGATGTGGATGTGGATGTGGATGGAGGCGAGGAGAAGATGAGGGCGCCGGTGGCGATGGCTTGGGGCTGGGGGCAGCTGGAGCTTAGAGATGGGGGGAGGGCGGAGAGGTAGCTGGACATGGGGACGGCGAAGGGGGTGAGGGATGGGTCGTATGTGAAGGGTGGTGGTGGTGGTGGTGGTGGTGGTGGTGGTGAATCTGACGATGGTTGTGGAGCCATGGCTCTTGCTTTGGTTGCTGTGGATGGTTGGGAGTTTGGAGATGGTGCAGTGGATTGGATTGGATTATGGTGAGAGTGGGAGGGGCAGGGGAGATGATGCGATGTGGTGGTGATTGGGTCGTGGTCGGGAGAATCAACAACGGCCTCAGGAAATGAGGGCAGTTTTTTGTTTGTGTTTACCTGACTTCGGAGTTCGCGAAAAGTATGGACGCTGACGGTACCTAGGCAGATGTTGCAGGAAGTATAGAGAGCACAGCTGCCGGATCGCATTGGTTTCACGTGACTACATCTCATACACTTTCTAGGCTGGGGGGATGAACGCTACATGCCAGCTACATACAATTGAAACTGCGAGATAGCAGAATGAGCGTTATGCGTCTTCGACTTGGAACTTGACCAGCAAGGAACACTTCGTCTCTCTCCCCTTCAAATCCAACATGCGAATGAACCTCCAATCCCGAACTGCATACGAGATCCTGACAGCCGCAACAGCAAGCACAGGGTTAGCCGCAAAGCTATCATCGCTCTTGATTAAAATGCGCAAAAATACCAGCTCATTGTCCTCGTACTCCCATTCGAGCGTCTCGTCCCAGATGGGATCCGTAGGCGGGGATTTAGCGCCGCGGTGGAAGAGACCGAGCTTATGCTGTTTGTATGGCGCCGTCTTCCGTTTGGGAGGCGGCTTGTGAGGATGATCGGGATGCGTCAACATACATGTTACATAAGGCCTTATTTCCTCTGGATCTGCGTCACCTGGGACAGGGATTTGAGATGCGCCTGCGATATGAAGACTGAGCTTCTTCTGCACGCCTGTGCTGAGCTTTCCGCTGCCACCGTGGCGGAGGGCGGCAGGCTTAAGTAGGTAGCCATCTGAGCCGCTGAACAGAGCTTCATTCAGTTGCATGCCGGCGCCGAACGTCTGCCAGTTCAATGCGCAGATCTGCGCTCCAATACCCCAGTATGCGACCGGGTTGAGATTCTTGGATGAGATACGAGTGCCCTTTGGAAAGACCCGCATCAGATGGTGAGCATTGTGGGCGCCAATTTTGGCACTCGCTCCTGGAATGGCCATATCGGCTGATAACCCCGACTCCGACACATTGATGAGGTGGTGATGAGGACCGTTTGTGAGCTTGCCGGGGTCGTACCACGAATTATCACTCGGCTTCACAGATTGGGCATAAACCCCCAACTCGGCGAGCTCTGGGACGATGGTAGCAGCCGGTGAGGCCTTCTTCATCTCGTTGTAAGCCTTTACGGCTTGCTGCTCATCGGTTTCTTCATCGGAAGAGTCGTCGGGGTCAGAGTCGCTAACTTCACCGGGAATGTGATGCTCGACAATGACAAGTATCTTTGACCCAAGCTCCTCCAGTAAAACATGCTCCCCACCGTCTTGCTCCTCGTGACCTTCTTCGCGCACCGCTTTGCTGAGAAGGCGATCGCCCCACACTTCCATCATGATTTGAGCCAGTCGACGCTGCCCGTCTTGACCACAATGGTTCTCGAGCGACAGGATAATGGGCGCAGCCCGGTAGCCCTGCCTATCTACCGACTCAGCTGCTTCTTTGTCGTAGATATCGCGGATAGTCTCGCACACCGAGCGGAAGCTGATGTTGGACACGAGCGTGTAGCCGTGGGTGACCTTTGGCTCGTCTGGGTTCTCATCATTGTCCCATGCATCAATTTCAACACAACGCGATCCAGCGCTCAGTGCTGTTTCGTATGCTACCGCTGATGAAGTGCCGTAGAGTTGATGGGCCATCAGATAAGTATTGTGGCTCGAACTGATGAAGTACTCTGGAAGCGGATGAGATCTATCGGTAAGTTCGGCCGGAACAATGATATGGGGCTTGTCAACCAGGGCCTGGAGGGGTGCCGGGGTGCCAGAATCATCGACTCCGGCTTCGAGTTCATTGAGCACATTCTTCTCGACGAGAAACGATCTCAAAGCATTGCTGACCGTGAGCTGGTTCTCGGTGATCCCAGTCCGACGAGCGGAGTGTCCACCTCCGGCAACGGATGCTGAGGTTGTTGCTTCCCCCAACTCATTGTCATCGTCTGATTTTTTCGGTTTCGACTTGGGGAAGAAGTCCGTGTCGCCCAGTCGAGCAGTGAGGTTCTTCGTCCATTCAGTCATATCGACCTCTGTTGATCTATAAGCTTTTTTGCCGACGACGGATCGAGACGGGGGGGTTCTACAATGTCACGTGGACCTCCTCGAACCCGAACTCAAACTCGTTACTTACATAACGGTTTCTCTGGCTAAAACAGCGAATTCGCCTTTCCGTGAACCTGAGTCGATGTATTTATCGATCCAAAATGTCGAGTGAATTAAGACGGATGGACGTTGCAGACGTTAAGAGAAGCTACTCGCTTGCGAGAGATGACATAAGCGCTAAACCTACCCGAGCTACGCCAAGCCTAAAATAGTATCGAAACAAGTTTGTGGTATATATAAATAAGCCCAATGTATAAAATTCAGGCCTCAATATAGGTTATTCAACCGGGGCTTCATTTCATTCCATGCCCTCATACAACTATGAGAACTCTTGGGTATATGAATGAATGTTATGCTGAATAATTCGCGAAGCAGGGTAGATGCTGCACCGGCGAATTGTCTGTGCCTTCCCTGCAGCCACCTCGCCTAATCACCGATTTGAGACCTCATCTCAATGTCGTCCTCGTCCTCGCCATCAACCATCTCTGATACCCTTACTTCACAAAGATCAGCTTAGAATGATGAAAGCCACAGTGCAAGATGCCGACGACGCCTCGTCGTCCCCGGACAATTCCACCGGGCGAAATCAAAGCATGACTCCGCAGTCCAGCGGCCAAAACACCCCCGCTACCCTCGCCCAAGATCACCGAGACGTCTTCTCCGCCACAGAGCTGGAAGAGGCATTCCAAGAACACCAGCCGGGCGAGGATCTTCTCCCGATGAAAGGAAGCGGCGAGGGAACGTGTGCACTGCTGCCGGAACGCTCGGCCGTCTGGATGGAGACGGTGACGGAAACCAAACTCTCGGCCCTGGCCGCTGCGACCCTTGTGAATGCCGAGGTCTTCAGTGCCAGGCGTTTGGTACTGTGAGTGTCCGTGTCCGTGTCTGTGTCTGGCGTCTGGCGTCTGGCGTCTGGCTCCGGAGCTCTATCTGACGGTCGACAACACTACCTAGGTATCCCGGCCGCGACCAATACCCCGAGTCCAACCCCACGGATCCCATCTCCGGGGTGTTCGCCGCTGCGCACAGTACCATCGGCGGCGTCGTGATGGGTGTGGCAGACTATCCCATTGAGGTCACCAAGATGGTGAAAGCAGACCGCGATGTGGCGAAGACCATGGCCACGGACTTTGCGCTTGACAGCGGGAAGGGTCTCTCGAGGATCGTGGGAACGGGTCTCAAGGCGCCGATGGAATTCACCTACAACATCTCAAAGGGATTCGGTAACGTGCCGAAGCTGTATGGCGATGAGACGGTGAGAAAGGATGCCAAAGTCACGGGACTTGCGAGCGGACTGAGTGCTGCTGGTAAGGTATGTAGTTACGGGATTGAATTGTTGCCGAATGGATCGTGGGAAACTAAACGCTGATGGTATATCAGGGCTTTGGACTTGGTCTGTTCGATGGAGTCACCGGATTAGTGACACAACCTCTCACGGGGGCCCAGAAAGGCGGCGTCGGAGGTTTCTTCGCAGGGTTGGGCAAGGGCATCGGAGGAGTGGTCTGCAAACCTGTGGCAGGTGAGTGCACACCCTGCGATCGTCCCAGTACATTATTTGCTGATCCGATCATCAGGCGCCGTTGGTCTTCCAGCAAACTTATTCAAGGGGGTCTACACAGAAGTCCAGAACCAACAAGCGGTTCACAGAAAAGCTGCACAGCTGGCTCAGGGCCAGAAGGAGTGGGAAGACGCTAACGAGGATGAGACCTCTGATATTATTGAGAAATGGTACAGAATCTACGAAGTCTCTGCTCAACCGCCGAAATATGAGTTTTGATGATGATGAGTCGTAATTGGGTAAAAGACGAGTACGAGGCGTCCGGGCGTTTCGACTGAGCAAGAAGATTGTATTTTGATACTCCCTCTAGTCTATTATAATATTTTCCACATCTTTTGCCCTCGCTTCTTCACATATTGAATTGCAGGACCGTGATAGAATAGGCGCTATTGCTGTCAGCTGGGTATAGGTACCGAGGTATGTATGGGCCGCGACTTACGGTACGTTCCAGGTCCAGCTTCCATCCTTACCCGGCGCCAAACTTGTCAAATTTAAAGGGAGTGGGGTAATCGCTGTCGCGTTATCCTTGTAGTTAAAGCCATTCGGATCCGCGTTCGACATGATCGTGCCATTAACGGACGTCCAGCGTGTCTCCAAATCAACAGTCAGAGGTACCACAGTCGAGTTGATATTACTGTCATGAATCAGCACTGCCCTCATCAGCAGGACAGAGACACTTACATGACCTTCAGGAAGACCTTCCCCTCTTCCATCGAGCTCGCCCAGTACAACGGCCCGAAGTCACCCACCGAGTTACTCACTTCAACGCTCTCCGTCCCACGATACGCATTGAAGAGCTTCTGCAGGTAATAACTCGTGCTCAGCACCGTGTGGCTCGGGTCGGCATCAAACGCAATCAAGTTCGGCGTCCAGTTATACCAGTTCCAGTTCTGCAGCGTCGGCGCATACGTGCTCATCTTGACCACGTTCGGATTCCGCTCTGCACCAAGCAAATACACACCCTCCGACACCGCCGACACCATCCTCGGATACATGATCTTCTCGTCGGGTGGATTGGACCAGTCGACCTCGCCAGAAGGCGTATCGATCGAGTAGACGGAGTACTCGCCGATCAGAATCGTGACGTTGGGGTTGCCGGTGCGCTCCTGCCAGTTGTCAAAGAAGTCGAACGATTCGACGAAGAAATGCGGCTCTTTGTATTGGTGCGTGTCCCACATTGTCCCGGGGGGCAGGTCGATTGTGTAGCTCGGGTTCTCGTCGTAGGCGGAGCTGATGTAGGTGATGTCTGGGTATGCGGCTTTCAGGCCGTCGTAGAGGTATTTGAAGCGGAACGGGTAGCCCTTGGCGAACCAGTCTTCGTTGCCTATTTCAACATACTGGATCACGAAGGGCTCGGGGTGGCCGTATTCCGCGCGCTTGGCGCCCCAGTAGGTATCGACAGAGCCCATGCAGAACTCGAGTTCGTCGAGGGCTTCTTTGAGCAGTGGATACATGGCTTCTGCTGTGCCGGGGTACTCGTCCGCGTTGACCTGGTTGGCGTCTCCGAGGGAGTAGCCCGCGTAGATGCTGAGGACGTTCTCCATCTCCATGGATTCGGACCACTCGAGAAATTCGAGGAGCCCAAGACCGTTTGTGTTGGAGTACACTGCATCATGGCTTAGTTTCTTCGTCCGCCTTCACACGTGAGTGGTCACTTACACCAGTTTCCAGGTCTGGGCCATCGATCCTCGAGAGGTCCAATCGTCTCCCACCACTTCCATCTCCGCATGATCGAGTATCCTTCGATATTGTTTCCCCCAGGCCACCTCAGGAACCTTGGATTGAGGTCGTAGATATGCTGAGCAAGATCCTTCCTGAGCCCATTCTTGTACCCCTTGAATGTCTCCCCAAACAGACTGATCTGGCTGAAGAAGTACGTCTGTCCGGCGGCAGCCAACGGATCAAATGTAATCGCCAGCGAATTGTTCGAATCCGGAGCGCTGACCGTACTCACAATTTGAGCCTCAACGTAAGTGTAGTTCACGAGATTCCACGACTGTGCAGGGATGACGGTCGAGGCCCAGATCTCGCCTGTGATATTAGACTGCAGAGATACTGTGATCTCGGTCTTTGGGTTATACTGGTTGCGGAACTGATTTGGGTAGATGAAGAAAGAGACGTTGTAGGTCTGTGGAGAGACGGGGATTCCCCACCAGCCGACATTGGCGAAACCAACAGGTCCCGAGTCCGCAGTGACGGTGGTTGGGATATCAAGAGCCAGGACTGTTTGGTGCGAGTGCGACAGCGGGCGGAAATTGTCTAGGCGGATGGTGGTGTTTCCCACTGGTTTATATCCGGTGATGACCGGTCCTGTTTTGCGTCCGCCGAAGAGTTCTCAATGTGGTGGGAGGGTACTCACCTGCTGCATTGCACTTGTTCTCCTGGTAGGTGATGGTGTTGCCGAGGAAGCCACTGACCGTTCCGAACGAGACGTCTGATCCTTCGAATGCTCGGTTCGCCAACAGCTCTCCGTACAGGCCCCCATCTCCAGAATGATTGATGTCCTCGAACATCCACCCGTACAGAAGCGGTGCGGTGGCATTCTTGGTCCCAGTTTCGGTCAAGATGCTGAGTGATACGGCACCTGACGAGTTCGTGACCGCGTGAGGGGTGGCGAGGTTCCTTGGTTGGGAGGGGGATTTCGGCCCTGCGGCTGCGATGTCAGAAAATGTGAGAGCGGCCAGAAGGCTGCTCTTAAAGAGGACAGCCATGGTGAATAAATGAACGCTTGACGGACTAAGGACTTACTCGAATGTATGTCATTGTATCGATACTACTTATATCCAGCCGGCCATTCCTCCGCGATTCCGAGCCAGTCTATCCGGGCACGGAAAATCTTGTCGATGAGTAAATAAGAAGAAAGCCCGGCGTTGCGGGAGAGAGGTGATGATAGTTCAGACAGGTTCCTCCGGTTAGTAGGCGCACCAATCAAGATCCGCGACGGGGTCAGATAGATGGGTTAGATAGGCGAGGCGGGGTAGCGAGTGACGGTGGGGTTATGGTTATGGTTATACCGGTATTCAGGTTCACGTTCACCAGCCAACGAAGTACCGATGTGGGATATCAGGTCACAAGGGAGCAGGAGATCGATAGATTGATGAAGCGCTCGAATGATGGGTTGAAAGCCAAGAGAAGTCTATTGCCCTATGGCTGCCGTGCCGAGGCCATCCAGGTCGTGCGTGGACAATGTCCTTCGCTATAAATGAAACTGATCCAAGTCATATTTGAAAAGAGTGAGGATCACTCGAGATTCGGCAATTAATAAAGGGAAAGTAAAGTAAATAAAGTCACACGCATCTGGCGTCTAGTCCTCGAAAACCCGAAGCGAGCTCAACCCCTAATCGTCGGCTCGCTTAGGTCGGCCTCCATCCATCCTTTCAGTCTTGATCGCGTCCCCGCTTTCCGAATCTTCACCCCACCTTGAAGCCCCGCCTGACCCTAAGGAAAGAAGATTTATGTATATATAGCCAAAGGCTTCTCGGCACCCCGCAACCAATGATCGGGCATATGGTTTAGTGGTATAATACTCCCTTAGCATGCGGCTCAGCCGATCACGTGACTGGGAGTGGTCCTGGGTTCGATTCCCAGTTTGTCCAACAAATTCACCATGGTTCAATTCCATGATTACTCCTCCACACCAATCTTTTTCCTTCCCTTTTGCGTTTTGCTCTCCGCCTGCATATTGGATCCGAGCTTTGATGCAGATGATCATAACGCAAAAGCCTTCTACTGAACATGAGCGAAATACCAAGTAGACCCTGAAATAATAGTTCGAAGGATGTAGAGGGTATTCATTCACCACTTCACCACCATCTCCCCCTTTTTGCTATAAACGTGCGCCAATAAGGCAAGCTGTCGGCTGCTCTCTTTCACTCGTTTGTCCTATCGCATGCGCTCACCGATTTTCAAATCGACTCGCAAATCGACATTATCATTTCTACCATTTTTTCACATTATCAATGTACTTCGTTCGACGCAACGAATGATTCTCTAAACAACACCAACGATCTCGTAACGCTACAAACAAACAAAAACATTCGCTCAAGTCTGTATTAAAGAATAGAGAGTATTGATTGGTATACTCGATTTTGTAAGGTCACGTAGTGAAATCCGAGTCGCAAAAAATCGGGCTGTGTGATCGGGACCCGGGAATTCTCATACTAATAATTTTTTTTATATTTTTTTTTCGCGGTGTTTTGAAAGTCAGTGGTGTACATAGCAGCGCACGCGATGAGACCAAACGAGTAAGTAGGTAAGGTAGGTAACAAGTACGTAGAGAGCAGCCGACAGACAGACAGACACACAGCCTTGCCTTGCCTTGCCTTATTGGCCAGCGCACGGATACCTAGCAAGTAATAGAAAGACAGGTACAGTACGAAAGTCACTTATTGGCATAGTGCAAAAAGAGAGAGAGGCGCTGGAGGTGATGTCACGGAAAACTGGATACGCAAAGCTTAACTGAACGACGGCCGAGCTTGATGATGCAGCTGGGCTGAATCGAGCGACTAGGTAAGGTATCCTTTCGATCAAATCGCGAGAAGAGAGAGAGAGAGAGACTGCCTGCCTGCCCGCCACGATTCCATTCCACCGACTCCCTCCATGAAATCTTGCTCTGTCGCAAAGCGAACAAAGCCCGCTCTTCTACTCCGTACACATTCGCAATTGTACTCACCGCCTTAAGTAGCTCCCTCCCTCCTAGGTATCTAGCGACCTTTTTTTTTTTTTTTTTCCGGCCATGTTCGTTCGCCCTTTGTTTATTCGCTCGCGCTCTTTGTTGACCTACTTCAATCACGTCGATCACTTCAATCACTTCAATCACTTCAATCACTTCAATCACTTCAATCACGAGACGTCAAACGTAGAGATTCTTTGTCTTGAAAAATTAAGGTCTGCGTTACGCATCTGGAGTCTGAATGGAGGGAGCTCATGACCATTTCCCACCCCCCTTTTTTTTCATTTTGGTCTCGACCCGGTCAGCTGGACATGAGCACGCTGTAGGCCCTCGCAGCGAGTGAAACGGTCAAAAAATGTAGCGTGTTACGAACAAGAGGAGATTCGATTAATTAAAAGTGAAAGCTGGAGCAGACATGTATATATAACCGTGTGAAAAGCAGCCAGCTAGAAAGACCCGATACAAAAAAAAAAAAAAAAAAAAAAAAACCCAAAACAAGTTCCAACCAACTGACTCTACTTCCCGCCCTTGTAAACGATGGGATCCCGACCCTTGGGCGGCGCATCCCAGTCGAGCCTGTTGATGGCATTGTAGAGCGCGAACAGCCTCCTCCCATCCTCGTCCACGAGTTTACTCTCAAACATGCAAGGCGAGCCGCAAAAAAAGAACGTCGGGCGCGTGATTTGGATATACGCATCATCCGTGATGACCCGCACGTCGTTTCGTTTGCGGCTCATGCCCAAGGGTTTGGCATAGACGTTCTTCTGCGACGCATCCGTTTGCTCGCTGGGGTAATGCTCGTAGTCTCTGATGCCGATGAATTCCCCTTTGTTGGTCTTGAACTTCAGGCCCTGGCCCTGATGGGTGAATATGGGGAGAGCGATGATGTGATTCTCCCAGCGAGCCTTCCCCCGTATGTTAGCTAGTACTCTTTCGGGGGATGTTCCTCTCCCACATGGGCAGGCAGGTTGTGGCTGATCATCAGTACGGGAGATGAGCACCTACTACAACGACATGCTTTCGAACCTTGGTGTAGATCTTGCCATACGGGGTCGTGGTGACTCTTGTTGTGTCCTCTACTCCTCTCCTCGAAGTGTCTTTGAACAGTGGCTCATGGGTTGCAAATGAGATGATGTGCCCGATCTTGAAGTCTTGGCGCTTGTGGACGTCGCCGTGTATGCTGACTTTAATCGGTGGCAGCGCTGACACCGCTGGCACCGCTGGCACCGCTGGCACCGCTGCTGGCACCGCTGCTGGTGCCGGGACCCTCCTGCGTTTCTTTTCTGCCTTTTTCTGACCTTGGGACTTCTTAGAGATTGTTTTTGGCGTATTCTTTGACGATAATTTTGGGGAGGACTCTGGCAAATCTTTCGGCGATTGCTTGGGGGATTTCTTTGAAGAGGTCCTTGGAGAAGTCCTCAGAGAGTTCTGTACGGGGCTACCCTTCGTGGTGTTGATAGGTTTTGGTACCATCTTGTCGAGTCGTCGAAGTTGGCAGACTGCCACACCTTGATCAAGTCAATAGGGTAAGGACTTGTTGACTTTCCCAGGACAGAGGGAAGTTGACTGCGACTGGCTTGGGCAAAGAATTTATGGTTCCAAGGACTGGACATTTTGGCTGCTTGCGGCGCTTATTGTTGCTCGCAGAAAGAGGGCTTCTTCTGTCTGCATTCGGCACATAATGCAATAACAAAGCATGAGATGTCATTTCGAGAACCGGTTGATGCAACCGGACTGGTAAAGCGCTCGAACATTAGGACAATGGACCCGAATTCGTCACAACATAGTAGAGAGAATATTTAATTGGGCAGGTATTCGTTGAGAGAAGCGAAAGAAGTAAGCGAAAGCTCGGCTAAATAATAGTGGATCTTGGAGTTTGGTAAGGAGGTTGTCTTCTTCTAATCTAGGTAGGTATGTCCCCTTCAAGGTGGTAGGTGCGCCCTGACTCCCCTTGCGGCCTCAGGCCATCACAACAAGACCCACTATTACTCCTGGCGCTAGCTCTGAGCCGAGCGTACTACGGACTACGGCCCTCTCCCTCAGAGATCCAGACATTCTTTTTCTCGGAGTAGAACAGTTGGTACGATACATATACGTATCTATGCGTATGCTTCCTCCTTCACCGAATGGAAACTGGCAGATAATTTCGGGGATCACGTGGTGAACTGTGCCACTCCCCATTCCTGGTGCCTAATTTGAAGTAAATATCTATATACACACACATTCATACTGCCGCTTCCCTCATCACCAATCTCACCCCCAATCCTTTCCTTCCAACCCAACCCCTAAACCGCAGCGATGGCTCATACCCCAGATCCAAATCCTCTCCGACGTCCATCTGGAGACGCCCCCGCGACACTCACAGAACTTTCGGCTTGGCAATGTTGACGTATGTGGAAGAATACGTGGATGCAGACGTGCTTCCGGACACGGAAAGCTTTGGAGCCGCGGAGTAGAGCGTTCGTTCTACTTGGGCGTAGAGAATGGAACCAAGCATGTGAGAGATCTGGTGGCAGACTTGAAGATGGCTTTTGCGGAACCATACATAGCCTTTCATGGCTGCATTCATTGTTCTCAGCAGCAGACAGGGCTACCCAAAACAACAGGGCGTGCCGCTGCTGTTCATGTACAGAAAGAGAGATAGGTGTTGGTCGGTTACGAACTGCATGCGATCAGAAATGCGAATATCGCGTTGTTTTTTCGCGTAGTTGTGTCGCATGGAGTAGAGAGAGCCGCCAGAAATTCTTTTAGCAGGCGGAGAATCAATTGACAGTATTTAACAACGGTCTGCACTTGCACCTGAACTTTGGGGGCGATCTCACGAAAAACTCGCGGTTGGAATCGGTAACAAACAAGTCAAAAAATCATCCTCGGCCGCAGTCCAATTTTTTTTTTTTTTTTTTAAAAAAAAGATAAACATTGCGTGACAATACGGTGTGATTGAAAACGTTTTATCTTACCCAAGCTCCGCTCCCAGATCGCTCCACCCGCGTGGTTACGTGCAGGAGGCCCTGGGTTTTTTCATCTTATGTTATTGCCCGAAACGGCTTCAAAACATGTGAAATCTTCCACTTTCACTTCTACTATGTATATAGTTTGAAGGAACGAATGTCTTTAGTGGCCAAAACGGAAGGTTGACGTAAATAGCAATTCTTGCAGCCCCTTCCGTAGGTATTCGTACAGCGAAGAAGAAGAAGAAGAAGA